CGTGTCACTGCCAGCAAAATTGCCCCACAGGTAGGCCAGCACCTCTAGGCTCTCGGCTGGGTGGGTAACACGGGGCAGGGCATGGGCACGGAAGTGGGTGCAAGAGGGGGATCATGATCAGAAACGGCCTGGTTAGGACGAGGACTGGTTTTCCTGTATGGATAGACCAAAACGTGATACATAGCAGGATGACTTTCACGTTCACCTTACCATCTGCCTCATGTAGCCGCACTGCCAGTGCGCTTGGGAGAGAGCGACAGGCAAGGCTTGCGCCGAGGAGAAGGAGGCAGCGGAAGGCCTGGCGCGCCACGGCAGGGCGGCTGTGACCCTACGAGAGGAGGGAGGGGGTTGGGCGGCAGAGGCAGAGAGCGAGGGAAGGGGTGAGAGGGGAGGGGGATGATGATGTTGGGGAGCAGGGAGACAAGAGGGCACGGGCGAGCTGTGCGCAGTCACCAAAGTTGAAGCGTGCCTAGTACTACTATGCGGCCTCGCTGGACGCGATTCCGTTGCGCCAATGTGAGCTTTGCGATGGGCGTTTGGCGAGCGCTTACATGGTGGCAAGTCGCCATGATAGTAATTTGTGGGAAAGCCGCGCGGACTGCGGGTACTGCTAGCGGTTTACGTCAGAGTCGCCGCGTAACGACGCAATAGTAGGAGAAGCCTTTTTTTAAAGCCAGGATCTCAAGTAGTTTGGCTGTTTTGCAGTTAGTGAATTGTGTTAGGCTGTGATTGGTTGACGAGGTAGAGTAGTTGACGAGAGCTGAAACGAGGGATGCGAAGCAAACAAAAATCGCAGTGAACTTCCGAACCAACTAGGCACGGAAATCTGGTTGGGTTCCGAAGCTCATTTCCCAGCAATGTGTCTCACTTGCCGAAAAATCTCATGCACAGCAATTTGTTTTGCAATTGAGATTCACGGGCAAATCGAGGATCAGTAGCACACTGAACCTCCAACCCAACCACTCGATTTCGCCTAAACAAACAGGGTGACTCGAGCTGCAAGTGTTTTGCAATTGAAGCCAATTTCTCGGAAACGAGATAAATTAGCAACCAGTGCTCCGTCTTGGGTGATGTGAGGATGATCCCGACCCGACTGGTGTAAGTAGAGGTGGATTATCAATATGAATTAGTCGCGTTCAGATGCAAAGTGAAGCAACAAAGGCATAAGATGGAAAAGGCTAGGTTTCGGTGTACTGTATAGGTGAGGATTACGGTGTATATATATCGGAGCGCACGAATCCTCGTGGGTGTGACAAGGCGTTGCCGACGTGGGTCTGGTGCGGTGGTTGGTTGGACAACTCCTTGATTAGCTGGCTCGGAAGCCACAAAACTCCTACATCCACGTCGACAAACCACATCGTCCAAGTTGAACACTACAGTACTGCTAAACGGAAGGTTACAGCGCGGTTTCAAGACGTTGGACCGTGTTACGGAAAGGTACACTCTCAGGTCAAAGCTCGTCCATGACAGTCCCAGCTGGTTGAAGCAACCCACCCTACACACACCGAACTGTTGATGAACAGATTCTATTTGCCAAACTTGATGCAGTGTCAGACTTTTACCAGCGAGGAGGGGGGGGCGACGCAAAATGTGTTGCGTTGGCGTGCGACTCGCACGCGCCTCTTGCTCAATAGGCTGGTTGTGTGCCCCGTTGGATTTGCAACATTCGCACAGTAACTTCCACTGCGGATGACAGGAATATCCACCGACAGAATACGAACAGAACAGTGCAGCACGGTTTGACGGCTTCATGAGTACACTGTTATGGAGATGCTTGTAAGAACTGTGGGACAGAAAACAGAACTTGAAGCGCAGAACCATCTTTTCCAAAAGTTGAATCCACTCTTGCAAAGAACCACCACCTTGTTCTAAAGCTAGAGGCAATCGATGGGTAACCGTACTCGAATCAGTAGTAGCAACAGTAATAGTCCCAGAGGTGATAGTGCAGTACTGGGATGGCCGGTGCCTAACGCTTCGGCCCAGACACCGGCGGCGCCAGTGGATCCACATCATTATGCAACCCACACAGAAGGGAGCGCCCGTCGACCGCGGGCACAGAGGAGGACTCGAGCAACGGGATGGTGGGCGGCGAAGTGGAGCGGTTTGGCGAGGGCGGCGGTGATTGCGCTGGTCGCGGCGCGCTGCTGCATGATGATGCCCGCATGGGCTGCTCCCGTGCTAGACCCTGACAGTAAGCCGCGCTGAACCCTGGCTCCTATATCGCGGAAAAGGCTAATGCAAAAAACAACGAAAAAGTAACTCTACGTACTACTCAACCAAGAGCCCAAAACTATAACGCCTTGCTAGTACCCACCAGGTCAAAACGAGGGCCCTCAACCCTCACATGTAAGCCCCACAGGCGTTACAGTCGTCCCCCTGGAGCCAACGACCTCGTTGGGAAGGGAGTCGGCCCTCGCAAGGACCTCAACTTCGCTGTGCGCAAGCAGCGACTTCGCTGGTGGGCCAACCCAGCGACGGGTCGTTCACTGGGTTTGCAACTGGGTTACCACATTGAACTTCTCACTCTCTTAGCGGAAAATGTGACCCAGCCGGGAATCTAACCCTACGCTCTGATACCAATATAACGCTTCGAGATCAAACACCTGTGGGCTCTGTTAAGGGCATTCCGCTGCAGCTAAATAACGCTGCCGTTTGACCAAGTGGGTAGCGAGGTGTCATACTGATACCAGAGCCTAGGGTTCGATTCCCAGCTGGTCCACATTGTCCGCTGTGAGACCTGGAATGTGGTGACTCAGTCACGAAGCCAGCGAACGATCCTGGAATGAGGTCCTGCGGGGGCAGACTCCCTGAAGTTGACGGCCGGCGGGGACGTTGGCACCAGGGGGGAACGAGTGTAACGCCTGTGGGTTGTGTTCAAGGGCATTCTGCTGCGCCTAAATAACACCCTCGTTTTGACCGAGCAAGGTGTTATAAAAGACCCTCAACCCTTACATGTAAGCCCCACAGGCGTTACAAAAACATGCTAACAATTCGGCGACCCGCAGGAATCGTCCAGAAACGCATTCGTGCCTGATTCGGATCTACTCCTTTGGCGATGGACAAGTGCTAAACCCTCGCTGTCAGCGCACTGGGCGTTTACGTTGAAGATCTTAAAAAGCTTGCCCAGCATAGTTGCCGGTGTATTCCTGTCATGTCCTGACACTGTAACCTCTGCCACCTCAACTCACCCTCTTCTCCCAGCCGTACATGTATCATGATGGTGTGTGCGGCGTGGTATGGCTGGCCTACACGGGGAAAGTTAGGTTTGTGCCTGCCGCATGAAAAAATGACATGATGTCAAGGTCGCATCGCTACTTGGGATGATGGGGCTGGGCGTGTCTGGCATACATGGTGACATGAGATGGCAATACATGGTGGCATGGTGAAAAGGGGCATGGCATGGCATGATGGCTTGGTATGGCATGGCATGAATGGTGGCATGGTTGGTGAATGATGGCAGTGGGCGTGTTGGAGATGCTGGCATCTGCATGGAGCGGCATTAGAGGCAGGGAGACGTGGATTAGAGGCGCGGACTGCGACAGCATGACTGCAGTCAAATGCGATGTCAGCGGCCACGTCATTGTGATGTACGCATCATAGCATCATAGCACTGTAACATTCCACGTGAGTGAAATCACGTGATGGCACAACACAGTTTGCTGTTACTAGCCTTGAGAGCATTTACCACCATGAGCTGCATCACTACATGACGCAGCTGATCCTTCCATCGGCACCGCCTCGCTGCGCTCCAAGCGTTTGTCGCCCCATGCAGCGGCACTACTACCATTCTCACCTGCATTACCAAGAGGGTTCCCCTTGTGCTCCCCTCTGCTCCACAGTGAGACATACGGCAGCACGATAGCGGCCTCTATTCCAGATGGCATCACCGGCCTAGAGTACCTGTCGTTTCTGTGAGTGGCTTGGCTGCTGTGGCACCATAGGCTTGGACTGGTACGCCCGCACTATTGGGACACAATATAGGCTTGATCTGGCAGTGAGAAGGTTTTGCAGGGCACACACGTCGCCCTTGTTCCAAGCACTCTGCTTTGCTTTCACCACCATACCCGTTTTCCTTGTTCTAATCACGTGCGTGAATCCTGTCCATGTTTCTGTCTCTGCGTTCCCCCCCCCCCAGGGACATCACGTCCAGTGGACTGAAAGGCTCCCTGCCCGCTGCTCTCTTTGCACTGCCCAACCTGAAGCGACTGTGAGACTCGGACTCATGAAGTGGTCCATATGATGTGAAAGTCCAGTTACCCTCGCTCTCCGCATCCGCACCTCCGCACCTCTCATATCACGCCACTATGTGTCTGCACGGCACATGCATGTGGCCCACGGATTTGATACAATCGACACACATGTGCATGCATGCATGTTGATCACCCATCAGTGCATGGTATTGATGTGCAGCTTTCTCTCTTACAATCAGCTCTCGGGCAGCATCCCCAGTACAGTAGAAGCTGCCACAGGCCTTGAGTTTTTGTAAGTGTCCTCTGCGACTTCCACGACATGTTGGCCCAGCCTACTACCATCTGGGTTGGAAGGGCATGTTTGTTTGGTGGGTAGCACACCCAAAACCCGCCAGGACTCCAGCGCCCCACCAACAATCCCTAGGGCCGTCTCCCCCTCACTTGGGGGCTCCTTAGGACACGAGCACTCATTTGGAAGACACTGGGTCTTTGGCTGTGATACCACTAGCACAGCCTGCTACCGACTGGGTTAAGGGGGGATGTTTTTTTGGTTGGTAAGCACCCCATAACCCAGGACGCTCAAGTAGCCCTCCAACTCTCAGGAATAATCCAGTGTCCCACCAACACCACCCCACCTTTTAAAAATCCCACCATTCAGTGCCCCATGTGTGACTGCCTGCTTGTTTGAACTAACATTTTCAGCCACTATTTCTGCTTTCAGCACCACCGAATGGTTCCCCACCCAGCATGCGTGCACTTGCTTCTTGTACCGCATGCATGTGCGCTATCCTTATTACTCTACGGCCTCCAATGTCTGTGACCCGTAGGATTATCCATTCCAACCAGCTCACCGGCACCCTCCCGTCCTCCCTGGGCAACCTCCCGGCGCTCATCCGCCTGTGAGTTTGCTCGTGTGTGCATCATCAACTTGCTGGTCTATGCTGACATATGTGTGAAGGGAATGCGCACGTGGGTACATGTATTTTCTGTCATGCAGAAAAATGTTCTCTGCAGCATGTGTTGTAACCTCAACAGGTACTGCATGCTAGTTAAACTAAGCATATCCAAGCTTTCCCAACCCCTCTTTCAGCAATCTGGGCAACAATGGTTTATCGGGTTCTATTCCAGAGTCGCTCACCAATTTGCAGAAGATTAAGAGTCTGTAAGTACCGTCCAATCGTTGTGATTGGAGCAAGGCGTTCCCATGTGCCCGAACCCTCATGCCATATGGTTTCAGTCGCATGTAATCACTTGCTCGAATGCCCTGTCAGAGTACTCCATTATTGATAAATTTTGTTAGTACAAATAGAGCTGCATTGCTTTGCCACTTATCCTGCTCGTCAATGTATCCTCAACTCCCACCCCGGTCATCCAGGGACTTGGATCACAACACCTTAACTGGTTCCATCCCTGCAAGTTTTGGCAACTTCCGTGAAATTTCAGAAATGTAGGCCTCTAATTGCTTTTCACGGACAGCCCAAAGCCACACCAATCATCACGATCACTTCTGTCTCTACAGTCGTTGCAAACTTGCTGTGGCCTTGTCTGCAAGTCTGTGCTTCTTCTGTTCACCTCTGTGCCTCCTGCTCCTCCCCTCCCCTCCATCACCCTCCCTCCGGCCCCCCTTCAACACGGTCCAGCGGTCTGTCTGGCAACCTGTTGACAGGGACGATCCCGAGCTCCCTTGGAAGGTTGACGAGCCTTCAGTCTCTGTGAGTTGAAGGCATGGGACTCCTGGGCCAGAAAGGGATGCTGGGTGAAAGGAGGACGTAGGGTGCTGAATAAAAAAAACTCTCTACTCTTCTGTGTGCATAATCGAGTGGCCACAGGTTGTGTTACTTTTCTTCTCTCATTACAACCGTTAGAACCCTTTCTCGTGCCTCTGCTTCGCCTAGTCAACCCTCTTGCTTCCCCCTGCTTTTCCAAATCTGCTCCTGCCATCCTCCTAAAACTTCTCCCATGCAAATCCCCCCCATCTAGTTCGTCCACCGCCTTCCAAATCCGCTTCTCCCTCCTGTTTCCTTTCTGTGCCATTCTGTCATTCAAAAGGACTGTGAGAGTCAACCAGTTGACCGGAACCCTTCCGTCATCGCTGGGCAACTGCTCCTATTTGCTTGAGTTGTACGCTCGAGGAATGCACAAATGAAGGCATTGCATTTATGTGTGGCACACACATATGATATGAGCAATGGTAGACACAACAAACGAGGAAGTTTTGTACATGTGATGGTTGTGCTGTTTGTGATTGTCCTAGCTGCGAAGCGTCTCCTTTGCCCCTCATGCTTCGACTGTTGATTGAGATGGTATCAATCCGCCCTACAGTTCGGTCTTCCCACGAGCCCTTCTCACTCTCGCCTCCACTCCACCCTCCCTTACGGTTATGTTCACTTCTCTCGCTCTTGCAATTTCACCCAGTTCCGTTCCACTTCGCTTAACTTCAGTACTCTATCCCTGGTGTTGCTCTGTGTTTTCCCATGCCACCTGACCTTCCACCACCGTGCAGGGATGTGGGTGGAAACAACATCTCGGGCACCATTCCTTCCTTTCTTGGCAACCTGCGTGAATTGACGACCCTGTGAGGCTCAAAAGGGATGGGGGAAGTCGGAAGGTACGGGATGACGGCGAACAAGTGGGCATGGAACCCTTCGAGAGAAGGCGTGTGGAATGGGGCTGGGTGCACGAGGTCTTTGAGGCACCCTTTGTGCCTCACCCGTAACAGAGCCGGTAACTCTTCACCCGCACTGCGCCAACACCCCCCCTCCCCCCAACTCCCCTTCCACCCCCACCCCCCCCCCCCCCTCGCTACCCCCCTTAATTGCTTGCTGTTTGATTCTTTTAATGCTTAACTTCGAGCCCTGCACCACTGTCACCCCTAATCCCAGTTAGGCACGATCAGCACCGAACCGTGATCAGGCCCTAACTTGTAATATAGCATGGTCCCGTTCCTGGGGCTTGCAAGAGCTCCATATCACCATGGATTCAATGTATCCATCCATGATGCCTCTGCTATGTGCCATGACCCTTTTTTGAAGACTCATTCCCTCCACTCGAAACGGGGGTGTGTTTCCCTCCTTTGTAAAAATTAATCTGATGACTTTGTGGCGGCTCATTCACCAGCAATGACTCCGGAAGGACCACAATTTTTTACCATCCGCTCAATCATATGGTAGTTGTAATGGACCCCTGATCAGTCGTCTGATATAATCTGCCCCGCCCGATTATTCCTAACGGCCACAGCTAATGGCTTGTAATGTATGCTCTGCAGAGACATGGAGTTTAACCAGCTAAGTGGCACCCTTCCCTCCTCCTTGGGTAACCTCAACATGCTCAGACACCTGTGAGTTATCTCGTGTGTGCATAACTACATGCACACGCATCTATGGGTTTTGTGATGTGCCATTTCATGCAGGTAAAGGATTGGATAGACAAGGGCAACAAGAAAAACTGAGTTTCAGCTAACATTCAACCTCACCTTTCTTTAGGGACATGGAGTGTCCATCCGCCCATCCACGTTGTTGTTGGCAAACTCTGCCGTAATTCCGTCAGAAACTATAATCGGTTGTGCCCGAATTGCAATCACATGGTGTACATGGGGTCAAAATACAATAAAAATGATTCGGAGCCTTCCCAGATCCAGATTTGCAAACGCAAGTGTCACTTGCTAAGCCTTCATCAACACTCTTGGGCCTTCCCGAACCCTCTTGCAGGCAATTGGAGGTGAACCACCTCTCAGGATCAATTCCCGACTCCTTCAGAAACCTAAGAGAACTCGTGGACATGTGAGTGACAACCAGGAGGGAGCTCTTGCCCCTTCAGTGCTCCCTTGACACCTGTGATTTCAAACGTACGTGAGTCATTCACTGTTGCTGTTTATCTGCCATCAGGAGTCAGGACCAGCCCCTGCTGTGATGAAACGCGGTGCATGCTACACTCATAATCATTTGCCCTTCTCTACAGTCTTGAGATTGGTCCCTTCTTCATGAGTCTCCCATACACTCACACGGAGCTTCCCTCCCCATACACGCTCCTCTACACTCACATCACAATGATGTTTCCTTCTCTACACCCAAACGTCCATGTTCCCTGTGCGCAGCTCCTTCGAGAGCAATGCGCTGTCAGGATCTATCCCATCCTTTCTCGGCAACATGACAGGGCTCACATCCATGTAATCCCCCTCCCTCGCCCCCACTGGCCTTCTTTCACGCTTCTTACCACAGCCGATCAAATCTCGTGAAATCATCATCCACAGCATAATATTCCATCTGCACTCCTTCTGTTGTCCCTCTCATGCTTTAATTCCCCAAATTTCAACCACTGAAGCCGTGAACATCTCTGTCACAATTTCATCGTCCTTTCTCTCTTCCCGTATGCTGTCGTGGTCCTGTCTCAGAAGTTTACAGAGCAATCAGTTCACAGGACAGATACCCGAGTCATTGGGAGACTTGATCAAGCTTCAATTTCTGTAAGTCTAGTTTGTATGGCATAGAGGAAGGCGAAGCACATCAGGCTATGTGATGGGTTGAGGGAATTAAGGGGGTTGAGGACAGGGGAGGGGGGTGGGGTGGTGAAGGGCGAGGGGTGAAGAGGAGTGGAGGTGGGAAGGGGGGTGGTTGGGGTTTGGAGGGAACGGTCATGGGCAGCGTGTGGGTTTCAATGGCATCAGGAGCGCTGAGTCAGTGTATGACTTGATAAGGTGAATATTGTGCCTCCATTCGGACGTGATGGCAACCGTGGCTCATTGTGGTCAAGACTCTGGTCAACCGTTGGTCTTTGTAGTCATGCATTGATGTTCAGACACGACAATCTGGCCCTCCTTGTAATTTTATTCAACCATGCCCTGCCTGCTGCTGCTCGTTGTAGCTTCCTGCCTTTCAAACAAGAATCGTTGTTGGAAGTTAACCTTTGGTGAGATCTACTAGCTTTTGTAATAACCCAGACCGACCCCTTCTGCCGCCTTTACTACTCTGTGCAGGGACCTGGGAGCCAACTACTTATCAGGGTCCATCCCGGCCACCTTTAGCAACCTCCGAGCCTTGAAACACCTGTGAGCTCAAACGGAGGTGGAGGATGTCAGATTTTCTATGGCCAGTGAATGGGAAGAAATGAAGAGCGGGAGAGGGCAACAGAGGTATGTGCTGCGTGAGAAAAACTGGGTGTTTGGAAGAAGGGAATGACTAATTGTCTGCTGTTTGGGGAGCATGTGGGGAGTTGCCTCTGCCACTAGAGTGCAAGCAGTAGCAGCAAGCTTGCAGCTCTTCAAGAGAATTCTCTCACACCCACGCCACACGGTATCTTCATGTATTACAACCCCCCTTCTCTCTCCCCTCCCCACCCCTCCTCCCGCCCCCAAACCGCTCCCTCCTCTCGCACTCTTCTTTGCCCTTTGCCCCCTGTTATCCTCTTGCAATGTGACCGCGCATGCATGGAATAATTCTCTACTCCGAAGATATCTGAACCCCAACCAGCTGAGCGGCACCCTTCCGTCCTCTCTGGGCGCCCTCTCAAACCTCGTTTACCTGTGAGTTACTTCAATTCCGCTTCACCATCTATGTATTCGGTATTGATGTAGGTATGTATGCGTACGGATGGGTTAACAAGGCAAGAATGCATACACGTGTACTGGGATAGTTGTTTGACATTACTACTCGCAGCAGCAGATTGCTGTCAACCACGAGCGCATCCCCATTTCCATAACCGTGTTGAAACATGCTGCATGTACAATTAGGTTGCACTGACATATGTGATATATCTCATTAGATTGTGCAATATTCTTAATCCATGAAGTGAAACGGGCCAAGAATTTCGATTTTTACTTGTCATCAAATTCAGGATACTGCAACACATGTATTACACGTCCAGGAAATGTTTGCCCTGCCCAATTGCAAGAATCAATGCACTTGTCAGACTGCGGGTACTTTATCAATCAGCAGGTCACTCTTTCAATCCATACAAAACAAGGTACACAGAAAGTGACACATTAGTTGAAAGCAATCCTCTCTTCACTATCTTGCTTGAACCTATCTTCAGGTGATCATTTATTGAGCACCCTTCTCCTGCACACAATCCTGCGCAATCGTTTATGTGTTTCACTGAATTGAACCTCACACCTACCATACCATCCACTGCACCACTGCTGCTGTGCCTGCCTCTATCGCGATCACCCACCCACGGGTTTGTTCTTCATCTCCTTCATTCTATTCTATCTTGTTCTTCCCTAATGCCTCAGCGTGCTCATGCTGCCATGGCCATGCCTCAGATTCGTGAACGCCAACCAGCTCACAGGGCAGATCCCGGAGTCACTGAGAAATCTTACCAATCTTCAATCACTGTAAATTGAAACAATAGGAATATGGAAGGATGTATACAGGAGCAACTTGCAAAAAATTGTGCAACAGGTTTGAGGAGGTATATTCGTTGGTACAGAGGGATTGATGAGGGAAATAGTCTTAAAACAAACTTCAACTGTGAGTTCCCATAGTGATATCTGAAGTGTGTGATTGTTTGTCACATTCAGGTTTCTTTACTCCAACCGGCTAAGCGGCCCAATCCCTTCCTTCTTGGGCAACCTCTCATCACTCATTCAACTGTGAGTTCCCTCTTGGGATCTTCACCATGCGGATATGCCATGTGAGGAAACGCCTGTAGTGCATGCGTGTGGATATCTGTGGATATACGCATGTGGGTGTCCATGCCATGTATTCCGTACAGTAGAAGCGAGCCACGTAGTCTGCGGAAGCTACAAGGGAGGAGTGGTTGGCCCTTGTGGTTGATCGCCATGGGGGCCACACCTCAAAAAGTTACCAGATCCATGGTAGGAAACGTGGAAGATCAATTTCATGGACGGTTTAATACGTACACCCAAGACAACGTTGAGACGTATTGTAACGAAGAAAGGAACCTGCTTTTGACTTGGCTGAGCTGCTTCCCTCGGTCGCCTTAGTCCTTGCCTAGACGCCTTGCCAATGCTGTAATCATGGCTCCTCGTATCCATTTTTGCACACAACACATTTCTCCTTCACCTCTCCCACTACTTCCGCCCACCAGAGTTCTGTTTTACCTGCTCGCTCACCTCACATGCGCTTTGTAGGTTCCTAATGTGAATAGAGTTGAACTGCTCAAGCTCCAAGTAAGGCTTGAACCCCACTGAGGTTTGAGCTCTGTCCTTGTGTGTTTCGCCCTCTCCCCACCCCTCTTCTCATCTACGCCATCACTGCCGTGTTTCAGCTACATAGGGCACAATCAGTTCACAGGGCAGATACCCGTTTCCCTAGGAAATCTGACCAACATACAGGCACTGTGAGTCCAGCACACGTGGGAAGGGAGGGCCCAGACCTACCCCTTTTTCAGTTCAAAACGTGTGTTTCTGTTGTCACCCTTTTGTCTTGAACGGATCTCTTGCAGCGTCTCTTTGCACTATAAAACTCTTGTTCTTGATTTGTCTATCCTACCTTCCTAGGTCATTGGAAGACAACTACCTGAACGGTCCTATACCATCTACACTGGGGAACTTAAAGTCTATGATTCTCTTGTATGTTCAGAGACTTATCTCTTGCGCAAGCATTTTGCTCTTTCGACCATA